CCCCCCCCTCTTCCTCTTCCCCTCCCTCGAGGAACAGGCCGGATGGAACGAAGGGAGAATCGAACGTTCCGCCGCCTCCGCCCCCGCGTGTCGCTACGTTCGGTTTCAGAACCTTGCAGTCAGCAAAGTTCCGAGGGGAGGGGAGGGGGAGGGGGGACGGCGCTCGCTCCCTACGCTGCCTGGCAGAGCGCGCCCCCCTGTGGGCTGGGGCGCGCGCACGCGCTCTCTTTACCTTTAGCAGCGTGCGTGCTTTCCCCAGTGGACAAAATGTGCTTGGACGGATCTCAAGTTTGCACCCTGGTTCTTTTCTTGCCCGAGCGAAGGCTCTTCGGCTATCCCGTCGCAACCGCTTTCTTTTCACCATGCGTAGCCAGCGGTGGCAGCTGAGGGGGTGGGGGGGGGGGGGCGGCACAGAGGGGGGACAGGGGGATATTGCCGGTGGCAGTAAAAGAACGAAATCGTGAATCTGTTGTGAGTTGACAGCTGTCTTGCACTTGCAATTAAATTGATTTGGGAGGAATTAGCAGTTGCTGCTGGGGTCTCTAGAGCTAGCTACAAAATAGGAATGGGAGATTGACAATCTGACCTGAAGCCCCCCCCCCCCCCCCCCCCCCAAAAAAAAAAAAAAAAAGTTCTGGTGGGTTAGTAAATTGCCCAACCTGCTAGTAGAAAACAAACCTAGCTGCTGTATAGATATAACTGCTGGGCCAGAATTAGTCAGTTACACTGCTGGGATGTGCCATGAAACAAAACCAAGCAAGTAATTGAAAATGTCAGAGCAATGATATAAATGAGATGTCTTTCATGCTAATGTCAAATTTAGATATAGATATAGATTGGGGAGTTCAGGAATAAACAAAGATAAGTTTATTGAATCAAACTATTGTCAGGTTTGTCCAATCAGCACAATATTGTGCTGGTAAAACCTAACACCTTGCTTTATCTGATCAGGTCTGGCCACTTCTCCACACACAAAGTAATGGTGTACTTTCCAGCTTTGCCCCAAAACATGTCCCCCCAAATGGAAAGTAAAAGATGGAAAACTAAGGGTGTCAACAGCTTTAACACTCATCTGAAAGTGTCTCAGAAAAGCAAAGCTGTTCCTACAGTTGTGTGTGACAGGATGAACCAGTTTCTTTAGCTTATAACATTTGAAAGAAATATGGGGAAAAAATTGTATATCTCCAGGAATCAGCAGTGAAGATTGCAGAGTAAATATAAGGTCTGTTTGCAAGAGAGTCAGTCCAACTCAGTCTTCAGAATTTGCCACAGTTTTCCTAGGATCTGCCTGTTCCTCTTCTTATATTTCATCCACACCTTTTCATTCAGAAGCCTAAGGTGGAATCCATGGTGCTCCTCCCTCCTTTTCTGTAGGAAAATGAGAAGGTGGAACACAAGAAATGCAGTCCAGGCTAAAGAGGAACTCTTGCCTTGGCTGAGGCTCACCTCGCCCATTTAAAATGAAGACACGTTTGGAAGAAGCAGGAAACTGCAAGGGAAATGACTGACAACCATTGCTGGTTGTGTTGTAGTTGTAAGATTGCAAATCAGTTTTAGTTGGGAAGGTTATATATGCAGGTCTCTACTCTGGGGGGGGGGGGGGAATTGCAACAATTGAGCTGGAGGGCAATGCCCATGGCTACTTTTCTCCAAGTTCCAGCCCACAGGCTCTTCTTCCCATCTGCCTTGCAGAATTTCTCCTCCAGGTTCTCCATCAAGAAGTTCCTGGTATTGAATGAAAGACCATCTTCTCTCTTCAGTATCCCTGCTTATTAAAGGCTGCGTCCAAAGTGAGGAATGCTCATGTTATACACACTGTATGTGCCTATATATGGAAAAGAAGCCCCACCCCCCCACCCCTTCAACCACAGAACTTCCTGGTAGACCTTCAGCCAGTGACTCTTCCTGTCTATGGAATCCTCTTCCCACTGGGCTATTATGGGGAGGCCTCCCCAAGTAAGTCTCTCTGAAATCCAAACAAAAAGGCAACTGTGAAATAAATATTTTCCTTGCAAGGTGGTGGGAGTCTCCATGCTGGATATTTACAGACAGGCTGGATACACATTTGCTGGGATACTTCAGGGTTTTTTTTTTTTTGTTTTTTTTTTTGATCCTGCAGTGAGCAGAAGGTTGGATTCAATGGCTTAAATAGCTCCTTCCAGCTCTATGGCCTTGTTTTCACAGCATGCTTAATTGGGGTGGGGGGAAGGCAGGGAGATTAAGTGTTGTATGTTAACCCTCTCTTCCCATTAACCTCGCAGCAGCAAAAGTCCTACACCAGCCCATGAGTATGGGGGGGGGGGCATACGTTTTAAATATAATTCGGTTAAAAGTTTCACATTTAATTTGAAAGGCTGCAACACCTTCTGATTGCAACCCCTTTTAGCTTACATTTAGCAAACTTTGTGGCGGGATCACAAGCACTGAAATTGTAATGTGAGAATATGCTGCTTTTTCCTGGAACCAGGCACTGGATGAAGGAAATGAGCTAAAGTGGGGTAAAGCTGCTCTTGATAGTAAAAGATTTTTGCAGATTACTTCAACCAAGAATCTTCCTCCCGGTTACCCACAAACCAAAGTATTCCACGACAGAATTGGGAGAAACTTTCATTTTAATTACTTGTCCATATCACCCCCATGCAAAAAAACTTCCCCCTTAAGTTTATTCATGCTCCATTCTCCCTCCCTATATATATATATATATATATCTGTCTGACTTGTATCCTTCCTGAAATACAGAAGTCCCAGCCAGCGTAACCAATGAGGAATAACTCTTAATGTCTGAAGGACACTATGTTCCTCATTTTAGCTGCATAAAGTGAGAGCACGCAGGAATGAGCAGTTGCACATCCTCAGCCAATGCAACTGAATGCTCAATGTGAACTGAAGCTGTGTATAGGGCTGATAATCTTATACAGGTAGCCCTCTGCTCACACAAATTCACTTAGTGTCCGTTCAAAATTACGACGGCACTGAAAAAAGGGATGTAGGACCATTTTTTCCCCAAACTTACGATCATCGTTTTGCATGGTCGTAGGTTTGGTCCTGTGATTTACATTCGGATGCTTGACAACTGACTCATCTTTACGATGGTTGAAGCATCCTGGGGCCATGCGATTTCCTTTTTTGTAACCTTCTGACAAGCAAAGTCAATGGGGAAACAAGGTTCACCCAACAACTGGGTTACTAATTTAACAGCTGGAGTGAGACACTTCAATCAAATCTGGCAAGAAAAGTTGTAAAATGGGGCAAAACTCTCATTACAAATTTTTCAGCAATGTAAATGTGGAGCTCAGTTGTGGCTCCTAAATTGAGATCTACTTGTACACATGTAGGCACAGATCCTAATCCACACCAAGCTTCGAACCTGTGGATTAGAATGTGCCGGTGTAATCATGGATGCTCCGTGCTTTGTGTATTCAAAGCCTGTGTATACCATTTCTAAGTTATTTCAGCCATTTACCCTTGCTGGCACTCTAGACTTTTATTCTCTGACAGAGTCCACGCTTAACTGTCTCTCTTCAAAGCTTAGCCACCGCGCGCTCACATATGCTAAGCTTAACTAGTTTTAATCTTCTTTGTTGTGTGCATGTGGCTTAGCGGGTCATACGAACCCAGCTTCTTCGGAAGTTTGTAGCTCTGCTTATTGTGTGAACCCACATAGGGGATTAATTCAGAAACTTGGGCACTTTTATTATTTATTATTTATTTCGGTCTAGACCCTGTCTGACTCCAACAGAGTGATGTGTGTAAATACTAACGTAAAAACCAATACCGTTAGCAAGAAGAACCCAGCTCATCTGCTTTCCTGCCCCCCATAAGAGATAATAAATCTAGTGAGTTTTCAATGAAGCCTTGATCAATCATTTCAGCAGTTGTTTGGGTCTTTTCAACTCATGTTAGTCTCTGTCTATAAATAGATCAAGGACTGAGAAGAACTCAAAGGTTGTTAGCACAGGGCAGCAGAATGTCTTATAAAATTGCACTGTGAAGCAGATCATTATTAACATCCTCTTTTTTCTCCCAGGATCAACTTCAGGAGCTGGTTTCTTTGGGCCCCTGCCAAGGCCAACCTCTACAAGGGGCTCCCTTGTCAACACAGAAGAATCTGGCTTGACCTTCCAGTTGGCTTGCTCTGAGTAAGTAAGCAACTCTAGGAGCAAATACGAGAATTGGCACCTTCCATTTGACAGAGCTTCCTCTAATGGCTAGGCAGCTTTGGCATTAGACCTCAAGAAAGGTTCATACTCCTGCCTTTGTAAGTAAAAAGTCCCAGATTCAGTCTAAGTATGACTAGGTAAAGCTGAAGTCTTTGAAAACTGTAGCGCAAAGAATACAGGTAGTCCCTGATGTCAGTGTTCCAGAAAACCTCCACTCCAACAAATAGCTCTGAGACAGACATCTTCTCAAAAGTTCTGTTTTAATTGGATAGTAAACTGGGACATCCCGAATCTGAAAGCTCCAGGCTTCCTTGCAATAAGTAAAAACTACAAATCCATCCCCTGCACCCATCATCACATCACATGCCCTGATCAACATCCGTCCCAACTTGAGACTTCCCCTCACTTAGGCACAAAACAACATGACCTTGAATGAGAAAAAGAATGTTGTTATGTCTAACTACATACACTCCAAGAAATTCCCCCCTCCCACTTTCCCAGGCTCAAAAGGTGGCAGTGTGGGAGCATCTGGTCTCAATATGGCTTCCAAAGCTGACACTTGACTTACAACAGTTCATTTAGTGACCGTTCAGAGTTACAACGGCACTGAAAAAAAGTGACTCAGGACCATTTTTCACACATAGGACCTTTGCAGCATCCCCATGGTCACGTGATATACATTCGGATGCTTGACAGCCAACTCACACTGATGACGGTTGCAGCGTCCCAGGGTCATGTGATCCCCTTTTGCGACCTTCTGACAAGCCAAGTCAATGGGAAGCCAGATGTCACTTAACAACCATGTGACTGATTTAAGAACTGCAGTGATTCACTTAACAAATCTGGCAAGAAGATTCGTCAAATGGGGCAAAACTCACTTAACAAATTTCTCACTTAGCTCTATAAATTTGGGGCTCAATTGTGGTCATAAGTTGAGGACTACCTGTACTGAGTTAGAGAAGCCAGTGGTCTGCTTTAGGATAAAAAAGCAGGCCAGTAAGAGAAAACGTAATGGGACAGGACTACTCAACAAGTAGTCCTTAATTCTACTTACATCCACATGGAAAGAAGTAAGCAGTAGCTTACTCCGTCTTAGGCCCATTACTCTTCAATATCTTTATAAATGACTTAGATGAGGGAATAGTAGGGGAACTCATTGAACTTGCAGATGATACTAAACTGGCAGGAATAGCCAACATCCCAGAAGACAAACTCAGGATCCAAAAAGATCTTGACAAATTTGAACAATGGGCCCTATCCAACAAAATGAATGTTAATGTGGAAAAAAGCAAAGCTGTACATTTAGGCAGGAAAAATCAAATGTATAAGTACAGATTAGGCAAGACCTGGCTCAAAAACAGTAACTGTGAGAGGGACCTTGGAGTCCTAGTGGATGATCATTTGAATATGAGCCAGCAGTGTGCAGCAACACCAAAAAATGCTAATACAATCCTGGGTTGTATAAACAGAGACATAGAAGCAAAATCACATGAAGTATTAGTGCTGCGTTACAAAACCCTAATAAGACCGCTCCTGGAATACTGCAACCAATTTTGGTCACCATACTACAAAAAAGATGTGGAGACTTTGGAAAAAGTTCAGAGAAGAACAACTAAGATGATCAAAGGCCTGGAGACTAAACCATATGAAGAACGGCTGCAGGTTTTGTGTCTGGCTAGTCTAAAGAAAAGAAGAATTAGAGGTGACATGATAGCAGTATTTCAGTATTTGAGGGGCTGCCACAAAGAAGAGGCGGTCAAATTATTCTCCAAAGCACCAGAAAGCAGGACAAGAAATAATGGTTAGAAACTGATCAAAGAGAGAAGCAACCTGGAATTAAGGAGAAACTTTCTAACGGTTAAGGACGTTTAACCAGTGGAACAGCTTGCCTTCAGAAATCATGGGCGTTCCATCACCGGAGGTTTTTAAGAAGAGACTGGACAGTCACTTGTCTTGAGATTGTATAGGTTTTGCTGCTTGAGCAGGGGATTGGACTAGAAGACCTTTAAGGCCCCTTCTAACTCTATTCTATTCTAGGACCAAAAGCTGTAAAAAAAAAAAAAAAAAAAAAAAGAGGTGAACAGTGAAGAAAAGTGACCCACCAAAGCAGCTTGGCCAGCTCCTTTGCAAAATTGTCTAGATTCAATCCACTAGCAAAAATTTCAACTCAGGGCTGTGTCCCAAGCTTAGATTTTAACCCAAGCCTCCGATATCTAATGGTGGTGGTGGTGTTCTAAAGTCAATTAAGATGAATGAAATATTAATTTTGATAATGAAGTAATGGGAAATTGCTAGCCTTATAAAAGTAGGGCTAATCAATTATGGAGCAATAAGGAAATGTGCAGTTTGTGCTGGGTGGTAGTAGGAATCACAAAATGTCACCAAGAGAATTGTGCTATTAGTCATGATAGAAAATCGTTTCCTTCCTTTCTCATCATGCATTCAGCATTCTGATTATCATGGCTTTGATATACAATGGGGCCAGATAACAAGCATCTTTAGCAATCTATCTGTTTGAAAGAGTGCATGACAATACTGTTTTTGGAATTGTCTCTGTTTTGTCTGTTATTCTTTATATACAGTATTCCTCTTATCTTCCATAAAATAAATAGCCTCTGATACCATTGGTGTCTACAAATGTATATCTTTGCAAGTTTGTGTAGTGTGGCCAATAGTGTAACTTTAGGGTTTCAGCTACCCAGCTATGCTATAGGCATCAACTCGAGCAGTGACTAGGGGGAACAAGTAATGCACCATATTACAACACTGCAATATGAACACGTCTTCTGACATCTTTGTAGGCAATGTGACCACACAAATATTGGATGTGTGAGCTTATGTCCTGACATTTTGTCATTTTAGTGTCATTATGGTTAGGAATGGAAGCTTATGAGCCCCCTTTTAACTGTTCCATTCCATTCTCCTACTTTTCTATTCTCCCTACCCTCAACAAATGTAATTTCTCAAACTCTTATAACAGTTTAAGTGAAGGCATGTTTGTATTTTGGTATTTTACAAACTTGAAGTGGGGGGTGGGGGAGATGCTGGGCAAGTGGGAGATGAATATACTGGCAATAGCAGTATGGAAAAGAGTGAGAAAGGTGAAGAGAGAACCAACCAGAAATGGGTGTGAGCCTTTATTAGGACTTGCCAGGGAATGACAAGAATGGCAAAGCGAACTCACATTTCCGCTTTTATTGAATCTATGGATAGGAGACTATATGACCCGTTTAGGATAACTAGGGCCCTTCAGGGTAAGTGCTTCTGTGAGGAATATTCTTGATATTAGAATATTGTTCGTCTTCATTTGGAGTTGGATTGCAGAATGGGCAGACGCTACGGAAGTGACCATAGAGTATATCTGTGCTTAATTATTTGGAAATAGTTTGAACCGGTTACTCACAAGGAAGTGTACAGACTAGTCCTCGTTGCTGAGAATTCTGCCACCTGTATTCTGGACCCTCCCAGTTGGCTAAGGCTTTCTTGGAGGTGGTTGGTTCCCCCTTTTTAAAAATATGACTTTATTGGAAATTTTAAAAACAAACGTAAAAATTAATACAGTAAGAAGGGGAAAAGGCAAGGTAAGAAATAAAAGAGAAAGCTAAAGTGCAAAAAGAAAAGGAAAGATAGGGGAAAAATAGGAAAGAAAGAAAAAAATAAAGAGACCTCCAATCTTCTTTACAGCAATTATAAGCATTATTTTAGATTTACTTCTTTCTCTAAAGCTAGATCGTGACTCTCTTCTTTCTGTCATTTACTCTTTTTGTCAAGAACCATAGATCATGTTGATTTTTTTTTCTGCTTCACACAAAAAGTCCACCGGGTTTCCAAACAGTAATAAACATAGATATTATCTTTTCTTTAACCAGACAGGTCAATTGGCCCATCTCAGCAAGTTCTATCATCTTCGCCAAACCTTCCTCCATTGTATGTATTGCCAAATTTTTACATTCTTTGTGCCTACAACGATCTCACTGCAGTTATCATTATAAACACCAACATTCCATGATTTTTTTTCTGTTTATCCATCAATCTCAAGAGGAAATTTTTTTGTTTCAATGGTATAGTAATCTTTAAAATCCTTTAAATCAGTCATGCATTTGAACCAAAAAAGCACTTTTTTTTTTTTTGAGGTCTACCAAGCATGATAAAATGACCCTTCTTGATCTTCACGTTTCCAACTTAAATCTGAAGTACCTTTACACATTCTAGATAATTTTTCTGGTGTCATATACCAATGGTACATCATTTTATAAAAATTGCCTTTAAGATTATAACATAGTATAAATTATGATTAGTAAATTATGGAGGTGTTTGATTCCAAGCAGTGATTAATGGTGATGGTGGTGCCACCTACCTTGAAGAAAGCAATGGAACACCCTCTTCTCAAGATGCTATCTTTGGACCCAACAATGTTAGACAACTTTAATCCAGCTTCAAATGTTTGTTTTTTCAGAGAAGATTATTGTGAGGCTGGTAAGTGCTCATCTTCAGAGAGCCCTAGAGGAAGTGGATTATCTGGACCCTTTTCAGTTAGGGGTTAAACCGATCTACAACACTAGGTGAGACAACATTGGTCACAATTGTGTAGTCACAATTGTAGTGATGTGTGGTGCATCTGTCCTAGCCCTCCTGGATCTCTCAACAACAAAGTAAACTATTTCTTGCTCCCATCTTCACAATATTTAAATATTGTTTAGCAGCATTTTTTGCTAGGTTAAGCATGCATAAAATAAGAAAGGCTATAAAGATAGTTTTCTTCCAAATACCAGTTTGAAAAATTAAGATGTTTATGCAGAGCATCTTCAAACTTTCAAGGGAAACTAAAAGAATTGATGAAAACTAAAAACACTTCTATAAGGTGTCTGTATGTGTTTAAGCTGTTTGAAAATTTATTGTTAGAATCTTTGAAGACTTTGAAAGTAAACCATCAGAAATTCAATAAGACATGCAGAATTCTAAGAAGGGGCTGATGGAATA